TCCTGAAAAGGTTGGAAAAAGACCAGTAATCCATTCAAATCTTGGCATTTTGAAATGGAAGATGTTCAGAGATCATTATTTCACGATCTTAGAAATCTGTGTTCGATTAATGGATTATGCAATATGATGGTTTAGTTTAAGTCTTTTTTTTCAGGTTTCATTAACAATGCTCAAAAGAGTCAAACTTACTTATACTGGAGACGGTATAGTTTGTAATATTGTATAATTTACTTTTACTCATTTGTCTTTAGTTTAGGAGTAAAAACAACCCCTGAAGTTTCATGTACATTAGAGACATAGAAATGTAACAGCAATTAGAAGAGCAATGCAGATGATTAAAATGTGGATGAAATAACAAATATAACTGTAGTGACCAATATGATCTCTAGATGAGAGATATGGATTGATATCACCAACAAGTTGGAAACTTTATTTTCAAGTTTCATTATTTTTAGTCTTAATAAACCATCCTCCTTCATCAGATGACATCTGTAAGAAAGTATCTGCCCAAGTGCTTGTTCCTTAGTTTAAAATATAGTATTTATAAATAATAGATCATTTTAAGATTAAGCCTCTTTATTATATCATAATCATGTGGGGGTTTTCTTTTTATTTTGTTTTTTTCATACTGTACTAAAAGTCTAAAGCATATAAAATTTTCATAGATATATGCTTTCATTACATTGGCACATTATTTAGGCAAAATCTGTTTATAAGTAAACCTTCAAGTAACAGCCTTTAATTTATAGGCCAGATTAATTTATAACTATTACTATAACTTCTTGTGTATGTAGATATTATTGCTTAACTATTTTTGTAAGCAACTGAAAATAATTGCTTTAACTTTGCTTTTAAATAGATTAGCATCTTTTGGTGTTTGCTTTTTTTCATAGTCTATCAGCATGTTTTTGACTGCCAAGTAAGGGAAAAGTTAACTAAAAGCAGCTTAAGAATATGTTTTTACTCTCACATATCACAAGATATGTAGAGGTATGGCATTTATAGGGTTTGTTAATTCAGTAACTTAGTGATATCACCTGAGGACCTAGGACCTGAGATTTTCCAAATACTTCTGTTCTACCATCCTTGACATGTTGGCTCATGGTTGCAAAATGGCTGCGGTTGTTCCAAGCATCACATGCAAATATAGTTATATCTAACAAAGAAGAGGGTGTTGCCTCCCATGAAGCTTTTTATTATTATTATTAAGGAAAAAAACTTTCCTGGAAGCTTCTGTACAGATTTTTCCTTCGAACTCTGCTGTCAAGAACTGAATTACATGCTCATCTCTAAACTAATCACTGCCAAGGAGAATCTTGGACTAACCATAATTCACCTTTGGGATGGGGGCAAGACCCCTTCTCTGAGCATGTGACTATGCAGAGAGTGAGGAGACAAACCAACCCAGGGCTCTGCCAGCAAGTAAAAAGGTTGATATTGGATGGATTAAAGCAGAAAACTAACAATATCTATAAAATATACAACAGAAAGGTATATTACTCAACATTATTTGAATTGTCAGAAGTTCCAAGTTGGCAAAATACAAATGAATGAGATGTATTTCTGAAATGCATGCTTTTGTTCATTTAAATTAAAAAAAAAAAAAACATGGGGAAGAGCTAAGATGGTGCAGTACTAAGAGGACTCTTGACTTCTGTCCTCCCTTGAACACAGCTTGATAAATAGCTGATTTCTGAATACCCAAGAAATCAATCTCAGGACAAACTGCACAACTAGATGGAGAGAAGAAGTCACATCATGGAAAAAAGGAGGTGGGGAGCTGTAATTTACAGTAGAAAATGATTGTGGGGACTATGGAAGAGAGGGAGTCCCCGTCAGAGAGAGAAGCACACAGGGGATTGATTACATAAGGAAAACAGTTCCCCAAAGCCATTGTCTAGGAAAATGAGAATGGCTGATTTTCAAAAGTTTTTACAACCAAGGGGGCTCAGAGAGTGGAGTTTTAGAGTTCTGTACATAGCTGGTGTGGAACCTGGTGTGTGCTGCAGTGTTCCTGAGGAGAAGAAAGGCAGAAAGCCTAATAACAACCTGCACAAACTGAGGATCCCCTGAGACACACTGGGAGAGATGGTTCTCCCTTCTTGTAATGCATCTGGGAGGCATGGCATTGCCTCTCCATGGATAGAAGAGCCAGCTGGCCCCATTACCCTCCTACACCCCTCAGCATAAGTGTACAGACACCTACTGAGGGCAGCTAAACTGGACACTGGCTCTTTGCTGCACTTTACTCCGAAATCCATGCCCCTACTCTTTTGTGCCACTGCCCTTCTGGAACAAACCTGTATCAGTCCCAACACAATGAAACCTGACCCTAAAGGACTGGAATCAGACCCTAAAGTTTGGAGTTTTTAAACTCAGCTGGCCTGCCTGAGATAGAACACAGGTGCACTGTGCTGCCAGGTGGACAGATGACCAGGACACAGACAAGGTGAAAGCAGGGATCTAGGGATTCCTGGGACACACAAATAGAGAGTGTTCACTCTTCTGGGAGGGCTTCCGTGGACAATGGCAGGCACGAACTCACCTCTCCAATAGAAGAGGGGGCTGGCACCATTTCTCTCCCCATTCCTCCAACATAAATTAACTTCACTAACCAATACAGGGCCAATAGTGTCAGCCTAGACTGCTTACATCAAGCCCTGGCACTCTGCAGGTGCTTTTATTGATCAAGTGTGCCTGAGAACCAGAACAATGGGCTCCTGCCCCAGAAGACCAACACAAACCTACACATCATATCTACTGACCATAGAGTTCTTCAGAGCTTCACCTCTACTGGAAACAACATCAGGTCTCTTGTAGCAATCAGACTAGAGCACACCTAGTTAAAACTTCCCACACTTTGTCCAAACCAAACACTCCCCACTGCAGGCAAGGGGAAACTCTGCAGAGGACTGACCTGAGGGAAAGAACAGCCAAAACACAGCAGCAGAATGCACACAGCACACACCAGAGACACTTCCTGAAGTGCCAGGACCTGGACAGTATATGACCTCTTCTTAATAAAGTCATTACTCTCAGGAGCAGGAAACATAACAGGCTTTCCTAACACAGAGAAGAAGACAGAGACCTAGACAAAAGGCCAAGATGGAGGAATTCATCCCAAAGGAAAGAACAGGAAAAGACAACAGCCAGGGATCTAATCAAAACAGGTATATGTAATATGACTGATCTAGAATTTAAATCAATAATCATAAGGATATTACATGGGCTTGAGAAAAGCATAGACCAGGGGGTCCCTTACTGGAAAGATAAAAGACCTAAAAACTAATCAGGCTGAACTGAAAGATGCCATAACTGAGACATAAAACTTCCTGGATGTAATGCCCACAAGGATGAAAGAAGAAGAGGAACAAATGAATGATACAGAATATAAAACTATGGAAAATAATAGAGCTGGAAAGAAGAGGGAAATAAAAGTGAGAGTTCGCAAATGTAGACTTAGGAAACTCAGTGATTCCATTTTAAGCATAATAACATTTGTATCATAGAAGTCCCAGAAGAAGAAGAGAGGGGGAAAGGACAGAAGGTTATTTGAGGAAATTAGAACTAAAAACTTCCCTAATCTGGGGACAGAAACACACATCTAGACCCCGGAGGCATGGAGAACTCCCATCAAAATCAACAAAAGTAAGCCAACACCAAGACATCATAGTTAAATTTGCAAAATATAGAAATAAAGAAAAACTCCTACTAGCAGCAAGAAAAAAGAAGTCCCTAACTTACAAGGGAAAACAAAATTAGCAGCAGGTCACTCCACAAAAACATGGCAGGCAAAAAGAGAGTGGCATGATATATTCAATGTACTGAATACAAAAGACATACAGCCAAGAATATCCTATCCAGCAAGGCTGTCATTCAGAATAGCAGGAAAGATAAAGAGTTTCCCAGACAAACAAAAACAAAAGGAGTTCATGACCACTAAACAAACACTGGAAAAAGTATTAAAGGGTACCCTTTGTGTAAGAAAGACTAAGGGATCCCTGGGTGGCTCAGTGGTTTAGCGCCTACCTTGGGCCCAGGGCACCATCCTGGAGTCCCGGAATTGAGTCCCACGCTGGGCTCCCAGCATGGAGACTGCTTGTCCCTCTGCCTGTGTCTCTGCCTCTCTCTCTCTCTCTCTCTCTCTCTCTCTCTCTCTGTGTGTATGTGTGTCTATCATAAAAAAAAATCCTTAAAAAAAAAAAAAAGAAAGACTAGAAGTGACAAAGACTAGAAAGGAATGGAGAAGATCTCTAAAAACAATAAAACAAGTAATAAAATGGTGCTAAATTCATAGCTATCAGTAATCACTCTGAATGTAAATGGACTAAATGCTCCAATCAAAAGACATAGGGTATCAGAATGAATTAAAAAAAAATACCCATCTATGTGCTGCCTACAGGAGATTCATTTTAAACCTAAAGACACCTGCAGATTGAAAGTGAAGGGTTGGAGAACCATTTATCATGTTAATGGATGTCAAGAGAAAGCTAGAGTAGCCATACTTAGACAAATTAGACTTTAAAGCAAAGACTGTAACAAGAACTGAGGAAAGGCATTATATCATAATAAAGGGGACTCCAACAAGAAGGCCTAAAAATTGTAAATATTTAGCCCCCAACTTAGGAGCACCCAAATATGTAAAACAATAACAAACATAAAGGAACTCAGAAAATAATACAATAATAGTAATGGACGTTAACATCCCATTTACATCAATGGACAGATAATCTAAGCAGCAAATCAACAAGGAAAAAATGGTTTTGAATGGGCCAGATGAACTTAACAGATATACTCAGAGCATTTCATCCTAAAGCAGCAGAATATGCATTCTATTCAAGTACAAATGGGACAGTCTCCATAATAGATCAAATACTAGGTCACAAGTCAACCTCAAAAAGTACAGAAAGATTAAGATAATGCCATGCATATTTTCCTACCAAAACCCTTCTCAAATTTGAGGTCAACCACAAGAAAAAACTTGGAAAGACCACAAATACATGGAGGTTAAAGAACATCCTACTAAGTCTAAGTCCTACTTAGACTGCATTACTAAGCATGGATCTCCGTACACAAAGAGCCCAGAGTTTGTTACATGTGTTCAAAATCTCCCTGACCAGTGTTCCCCGAACCCCTGCACCGAGGGGACACAAGTCTGCCAAGACCTTATGGGCAACTTCTATTGCCAGTGCCGAGCCGGCTGGGGGGGGCGGCTCTGCGACAGAGATGTCAACGAGTGTGGCCAGCAGAACGGGGGCTGCAACCACATCTGTTTCAACAAGCCGGGCAGCTTCCACTGTGCCTGCTACAGCGGCTACGCGCTCTCCCATGATGGCAGGACCTGCCAAGACGTGGATGAGTGTGCAAATGGAGCTGCCTGCGGGGAGGCGCACTGCCAGAACCTGCCTGGCTCCTACTCCTGCCTCTGTGATGAGGGCTACGCATTCAGCTCCCAGGAGAAGGCCTGCCGAGATGTGGAGAGTGTGCGGAGGGACGCTGTGAGCAGGCCTGCATCAACTCCCCAGGGGGATACAGCTGCCACTGTGATGGATGTGGAGGCCTCAAGCTGTCCCCAGACATGAACACCTGTGAGGATATTTTGCCCTGCATGCCTTTCAATGTGGCCAAAAGCATGAAGTCCTTGCACCTGGGTCGCATGTTCAGCAGAACACCCGTGATCAGACTGCGCTTCAAAAGGCTACAGCCCACCAGGCTGGTCACCGAATTCGACTTCAGGACCTATGACCCTGAAGGCGTCCTCTTCTTTGCTGGAGGCCATCAGGACAGTACCTGGATCGTGCTGGGCCTGCGGGCTGGCCTGCTGGAACTGCAGCTCCGCTACCATGGTGTCGGCCGTGTCACCAGCAGTGGGCCTGTCATCAACCACGGCACATGGCAGATGATCTCCGTGGAAGAGCTGGATCGGAATCTGGTCATCGAAGTGAACAAAGACGCTGTCATGAAGATCGCGGTGGCCGGGGATCTGTTTCAGCTGGACAGAGGGTTGTACCACCTGAACCTTACCGTGGGAGGCATTCCCTTCAAAGAGAAGGACTTGGTCCAGCCTATAAACCCCCGCCTGGATGGCTGTATGAGGAGCTGGAACTGGCTGAATGGTGAAGACACCACCATCCAAGAGACTGTAAAAGCAAACCCCAAGATGCAGTGCTTCTCTGTGACGGAGAAAGGGTCCTTCTACCCTGGGAGCGGGTTTGCCTTCTACAGCCTGGATTACACTCGGACCTCGCTGGACGTCGGCACTGAAGCAACCTGGCAGATAGAGGTCATGGCTTGGATCCGCCCCGCCACTGACACGGGAGTGCTGCTTGCGCTGGTGGCTGGTGACCACGTAGTGGCCCTCTCCGTGGCCCTGGTTGACTACCACTCCACCAAGAAACTCAAAAAGCAGCTGGTCATCCTGGCTGTGGAGAGTGTCACCCTGGCCCTGATGGAGATGAAGGTGTGTGACGGCCAGGAGCACCAAGTGGCCGTGTCTGTGCGGAAGGATGAGGCCACCCTGGAGGTCGACGGCACCAAGAGCCAGAGCGAAGTGAGTTCTGCGGGACTGCGGGAGAGCCTGGCCGTGCTTGGGAGACACCTGCAGGGCTCCGTGCTCACCTTCGTCAGGGGACTGCCAGATGTGCCTGTGACCTCAGCGCCAGTCACGGCTTTCTACCGTGGCTGTATGACGCTGGAGGTCAACCAGAAGGCGCTGGAACTGGACGAGGCCACCTACAAGCACAGTGACATCATGTCCCACTCCGGCCCCCTGGTCGAGCAGGAAGACGGGAGGCCTGTCTCCCCAACCCACCACATGAGCAGCTCTGGACACCGCACTCCCACAGGCCGAGCTTCCTTCCAGACTGCTTTCTGCCTTGTAACATACATGTATATAGCTGAGGGTACTGCTGTTAGCCACCAAAGCCACAGCCCCGACCCCGGATCACCCTCCATGTGGAGGACTGGCACATGCCAGAGCAGACCCAGGGAATAGTTCTCTGTTATTTTTATTTCCAAATGCTTCTTTCTGGCCTAAAAATATGGAAAAATAAAATATTTACAGACCCTTTTAAATGGATCAACCAGGAAATTAAAGAAAAAATTCAGAAATAATTGGAAACAAATGAAAACGAAAACATGATGGTACAAAACCTTTATGATGCAGCAAAAGTGGTCATAAGGGTGAAGTATCTAGCGATATAGTCCTACCTCAGGAAGCAAGGAAAATCTCAAATATGTAACCTAACCATACACCTAATGGAGCTAGAGAAAGAGCAACAAATGAAGCTTAAAGCCAGCAGAAGAAGAGAAATAATAAAGATTAGAGCAGGAATAAATGATACCCCACCCCCAAAAAATAGAATACATCAATGAAACCAGGAGCTTGTTCTTTGAAAGCATTAATAAAATTGATAAACCCCTAGCCACACTTATCAAAAATAAAAGATAAAGGACTCAATGGAACAATCCACAAAAACAGGGACTGAATAGGTATCATGATGACACTAAACTTGTATCTTTCAATAGTAACTCTGAACGTGAATGGGCTTAATGACCCCATCAAAAGGGGCAGGGTGTCAGACTGAATAAAAAAGCAGGACCCGGGATCCCTGGGTGGCGCAGCGGTTTGGCGCCTGTCTTTGGCCCGGGGCGCGATCCTGGAGACCCGGGATCGAATCCCACATCGGGCTCCCAGTGTATGGAGCCTGATTCTCCCTCTGCCTGTGTCTCTGCCTCTCTCTCTCTCTCTCTGTGACTATCATAAGTAAATAAAAAAAAATTAAAAAAAAAAGCAGGACCCATCTATTTGCTGTCTACAAGAGACTCATCTTAGACAGAAGGACACCTACAACCTGAAAATAAAAGGTTGGAGAACAATTTACCATTCAAATGGTCCTCAAAAGAAAGCAGGGGTAGCCATCCTTATATCAGATAAACTGAAATTTATCCCAAAGACTGTAGTGAGAAATGAAGAGGGACACTATATCATACTTAAAGGATCTATCCAACAAGAGAACTTAACAATCATCAATATATATGCCCCAAATGTGGGAGCTGTCAAATATATCAATCAATTAATAACCAAAGTGAAGAAATACTTAGATAATAATACACTTATACTTGGTGACTTCAATCTAGCGCTTTCTACACTCAATAGGTCTTCTAAGCACAACATCTCCAAAGAAACAAGAGCTTTAAATGATACACTGGACCAGATGGATTTCACAGACATCTACAGAACTTTACATCCAAACGCAATGGAACACACATTCTTCTCAAGTGCACATGGAACTTTCTCCAGAATAGACCACATACTGGGTCACAAATCGGGTCTGAACCGATACCAAAAGATTGAGATCGTCCCCTGCATATTCTCATATCATAATGCCTTGAAATTAGAACTCAATCACAACAAGAAGTTTGGAAGGACCTCAAACATGTGGAAGTTAAGGACCATCCTGCTAAAAGATGAAAAGGTCAACGAGGAAATTAAGGAAGAATTAAAAAGATTCATGGAAACTAATGAGAATGAAGATACAACCATTCAAAATCTTTGGGATGCAGCAAAAGCAGTCCTGAGGGGGAAATACATCGCAATACTAGCATCTATCCAAAAACTGGAAAGAACTCAAATACAAAAGCTAACCTTGCACCTAAAGGAGCTAGAGAAAAAGCAGCAAATAGATCCTACACCCAGCAGAAGAAGAGAGTTAATAAAGATTCGAGCAGAACTCAATGAAATCGAGACCAGAAGAACTGTGGAACAGATCAACAAAACCAAGAGTTGGTTCTTTGAAAGAATTAATAAGATAGATAAACCATTAGCCAACCTTATTAAAAAGAAGAGAGAGAAGACTCAAATTAATAAAATCATGAATGAGAAAGGAGAGATCACTACCAACACCAAGGAAATACAAACGATTTTAAAAATATATTATGAACAACTCTACGCCAATCAATTAGGCAATCTAGAAGAAATGGACGCATTTTTGGAAAACCACAAACTACTAAAACTGGAACAGGAAGAAATAGAAAACCTGAATAGGCCAATACCAGGGAGGAAATTGAAGCATTCATCAAAAACCTCCCAAGACACAAAAGTCCAGGGCCAGATGGCTTCCCTGGGGAATTCTATCAAACGTTTAAAGAAGAAACCATGCCTATTCTACTAAAGCTGTTTGGAAAGATCAAAACTTAAGTGAGGAAACAAATGAGATGATGTCTATCCTTTTCCTAATAATATTTCTAAAGCTATGGCTCTTGTCCTTGTTAAGTAAATTAACACCTGTCCTTTTTCAAGAGAAAACAAAAAAAGCAAAACAGTGCCTCAGACAAATACTAATTCAACCTCAGTGACTACTTCTTACCCAAAGAAGATAGACATTAACATCCTAAAATGAATTTCTAGACAGGAAGCTCTGATAAAAGATGGGATTTCTAATAAAGCATGTAGTGGGATTAAAGCATATTTTTAGTGGCAAAAATATGAAAATTTATAACTTACAAAGGTATTTAGTTCATCTTGGATTCCTTTAGCCTTGATCCTGTTCTCTGCCAGGTGTCAGCTAATTGATATGATAAACTAATGCAGTACTAATGTGTCACTCACTCTGTACTACATAAGTGCCCTTTAAATCCAAGGCAGTGCTTTAATCCAGCAGAGCAATTCTACTGTCAAGAACTTCTTGCAGCATGGCTAGCTGATAGAGGAAATATTTTGGGGAAAGGGAGACATACTTGTACCTCTGAAAGAAAGTCATGTACACAGCTACCTAACCTGCATGGGTGTAGGATTTTTCCCCCATAAAGGACATTCTACAATTAACCTGGCTCTTGGGATCTTCTAATTCAGTTTTACAATCTTTGTTTTACAAATCTGTTTCATTTGGTAATAGCTTCCCTTGGGATATAGATCAGGGATAAGCAATGTCCTATGTGTTAAATCCTGCCTGCCCTCTGCATTTGTAATTAATGTGGTATTGGCACAAAGTCATACCCGTTTGTTTATTTATTTTTAAAGATTTTTTTTATTTATTCATGAGAGACAGAGAGAGAGGGAGAGGGAGAGAGGCAGAGACACAGGCAGAGACACAGGCAGAGGGAGAAGCAGGCTCCATGCAGGGAGCCCAATACGGGACTCTATCTCGAGACTCCAGGACCATGCCCTGGGCCAAAGGCAGGCATTAAACCACTGAGCCACACAGGGATCCCCCATTTGTTTGTATATTATTTGTGGCTACTTTCATCCTATAATGGCAGCATTGAGTAATTAGGACAGAGTCCATGTGCCACACAGGCTGAAAATATTTACTGTCCAGCCCTTTTTACAGAAAAAGCATGCCTTTATATAGAGCATGCAAAGAAGGGTGTTAAGGTGAGATTCTGATAGGGGAATTATAAAAAACAGATATAGTCTCTTGCCTGTTAACTTTCAGATGCAGTCTGTCCTTAAGAGGCATTAGATTTTGAAAAGATGGGAGTTAGGAGTTTCATTGGAAGAGATACAGTATCAACCTGGCTCTTGATTTCCCGTTTCTTTTCTAGGTGACATTACTTCTTTATATATTGCCTCTCAGGCAGAATTTCTGCATTCATCTTGCATTGTTAGGCAGAATGATTGCAGAAGTTAACCCCAGGCTTAGTGTGTGAGACCTAGGTCATGCTTAACCAGTACTCTTAATCTCACTTATGCATCTCTGGAGACAGAAGACACTTAGTACCTATGTTATAGTAAGTACATAGTATATGCTTTGTAAAGTATATTGCCCCCACCTCTACCTTATAGTGCAATACACATATAGCCTCATTAGTAGAAAAACCCTTTGTTATAGGCAAGATTTCTTGGTTTTGATTTTTGGTAGAAATATCTCCTCAGTCTATTTCTTTAGATCCCCATCCTTCAGTGTTAATTATGAGCATTACCAAGGGTCTACCCTTGGTCCTACACAATTTTTCCAGTGAAGTTCATATCTATTCTCATGGTTTGTACTCATTCCTGAGCTGCAGTCTTATTCTTTCTAGACTCAAGTTTATGGTCTCTTTGCTGCCTCTAACTAGATTTCCCACAGCTATCTCAAACTCAGATTATTCAGAGTAGAATTCATTACATCATTTCCCAACCTCTTCCCATATTCTCTGTTTTGATGAATGGAACAACTTGTTATATTCTCCCTCAGTGTTCACATATGTTCAATCTCCAGTTCATGTTGATTCTGTCTGAATCACCCTTGCTGTAACCGCTCTAGTTTTGGTGTATACTCTCTCTCCCCTGTACTACAGCAATAATTTTTTGAGTCATCATAACTTCAGTCTTAGCACCCTCCAAACTATCTTTATATCACTGCCAGATATGTCTTTCTGGCATATTGGGACATCCACATTCTTTTATTTTTTAAAGATTCTATTTACTCATGAGAGACACACAGAGAGGCAAAGACACAGGCAGAGGGAGAAGCAGGCTCCATGCAGGAAGCCTGATGTGGGACTCGATCCCGGGACTCGATCCAGGACTCCAGGATCACGCCCTGGGCAGAAGGCAGGCACTCAACCGCTGAGCCACCCGGGGATCCCCGGGACATCCACCTTCTAAGAAATCTTTAATGGCCTCTCATAGGTGACAGTAGAGTCTAATCTAGCATCCTTTTACTCTGTTTGCAATGCGCACAACTCCCTTCCACTGGTGAAATCATTTTCATCTTTCAAAACTCTATTTAATGATATTTTCTACATTGCATCTTTCCTAGTATCTCTTCCTCAACTCCAAGGAAAATTAATTTCTTCCTATTTCGCATTCTCATATCACATTGTTAATGTGGTGTTGTAACACCCCACTCATTATAATTGCTGATATGCAGATCTGCCTTTTTCTTTCTTTTTTTTTTAAAGATTTTTAATTGTTTATTCATGAGAGACACACACACAGAGAGAGAGAGAGACAGACAGACAGACAGAGCAGCAGAGACACAGGCAGAGGGAGAAGCAGGCTTTATGCAG